TTATATTTTATTAATGTTTTTATTAGTATTATAGCGAAGTCGAGAGAACAAACAAGTGAAAGAACTCAATTCAGGTTTGAATTCACTGGAGAACGCGATGTCAGCCGTGAACCCTCGTTCCTGCACACCTCAGCCAGTAAGTATATGGCACTACTATCATGGCTACTTCCCCAGTGCCAGTAGTATGACATAATATGGCGCAGTTCGGCCTGATGGGGGCAATTTAGTGATTCCCATTAATCAACGCCTATGCCTTCTGTGGAGACTTGTGAATTTCCGTGAAACTACACAGTGGAACGCGCTTCGCTAATGCTTGACAAATCTCAACATTTTTTTACCCGGGTGCGACGTGTAAAATGACGGGAAATGGCAGAGAAACTAGCAAATATGTAAGTTGCCCCCCCCCTTCAAGCCGAACAGCTCCCCAATATTTTCTCTACAAGAAAGCGCTCACGTTTTGGCTCTGAAAATTAGGTCATCCTTCAGCTATTTGAATGATACCTTAGAAAAATGCTCTCTCCAGATTTTGGTCAACACATGGAGGCACCCGCGAGCCGCCTCGACACTTCTGGCCACCGTCTCGACACTTCTGGCCACCGTCTCGACACTTCTGGCCACGCGAGCCGCCTTGACACTTCTGCCAGTCGGCTGAATACCTCTGGTCAACGGGTCGAGTTTGCCGACATCTCAGGTGGCACGGCTGTCAATAACTACGGATACGACGTGCATGAAGTACACACATCAGGTTGGTACATACTGGATACTTATCTGTACTCGTAGGTAGGTATCCTTGTCGTATGCTGCCATACCCGACGCATCTCCAAACTTTGCTCTGACGGTCATTTTCCTATTTTTTGACCACTTATCTGAACTACTGTTGATTTCAGTGCAGTTTTTATTTGTTTTGTGCTGCTAAGTGTTGTTCTTTTGCAGTTCGCATTGCGCATGCTGTCACGAACAAATTCAGTTCAGGACGAAATTGTCAGCCTGAGCGGGACTTGAAGTTACACTTAGATTTTCTGAATACCGTACCTCTTGATCCGTCTTCTGACTAGTACGCTCAAGGGTATTTCTTGGGAAGTTTTGATTCCACGAAAATTTTTCCACCGAACCATCAGCCTATTGTCCCCTCTTTATTTGGCCTTCCAGAAATGCGCAGCGAAAAGCACAGAGCACACTTTTGTGGTCTCTAATGAACATCCATAACTTGCGACAAACCGTTCTGAAAACAGGCTCCACGACCAGAAAGGCCCATTTCGTGAGTGTACCCATCACTCACCGAGACCCACTCAGCGCATAAACCCGCAACGCATAACAGTGGCCGGAGAGAAAAGAAAGCGCTGAAGCTAGACCGGGGTTTTTTTCATGGATCCCCACCCTCTTGATGACATGTGACATTTCAATTTGTTGCGTTGAAATATTCCAAGATTCTTCAAATTTCAAGTGTGCTTGTATAAATAAGGGCATTCATGTTAACATTTGTAGTGTTTGTCGTCATATTTAGGCTCTAGTAAGTCTGTTCCGGTGCGGATGTGGGGCGCTGTCGAGACATTAGCGGGTTTGCGCCGTCGCTCCTAGTTGTTTACGGCGTCAAAGCGATGCAAAAAAGATTTGATAACAATCGATTGTGGTGCTGTTTCTTGCTTGGCCAGAAAGATAAAAAAGAAAAAACAACTTAGCGCCTATGCCAACCTGTCTCCCTGACACCCCATCATCCGCTTCCCAAAATGTGACGAGCATACCATGCGGACAGAGTTAGTTCGAATTCGTTTGATTCAAAGACCACAAAAATGGCTCTGCCTTTGCCTAATAAGTCCACCTAACCCTCGTTATGTGTGGTACTGAGTAAAATCCTCTCTGTGGGAAGACCAGTAACTCCAAGGGAACCTAACTGGCACCGATTTCCTTCACCTTTCTACCGATTACTTTGTTATAAAAAAGTGAACACTCTGGAAAGTGATCACACTGAACAGATAATCATAGGATCCTATTAAGGATCTCAGAGAGGACTGAATGTACTCGCACAAGAAAGTACAACACGAAAGCCACCCACACCGCCTTGGCTTCCACTACCCACACAATAAGAACAAAAGGCTCAGATGGCGTGAAAGATCACGGGGTTGTGTTTAGTTTCAGTTTTCCGCCGCAAATAGGCGTGAAGTGTGGGTGAAACGTTTTGTTGGACCACTTTTCATCCCTTCATGATGGGATATCGATTACCGGCTGTTACATTTGGTAGTTCATCCACAGGCAGTACCGAACAATCTCTTGTCTATCTCCGACCAGATCTCAATTTTTCCACAAACATTCGATCTAAATGTAAGTGCAAAACAATTCGTGGACTTTTGATTGCATCATCGATGAAAAAGTAAAATTCCTGGTATCGTTGCATCCTTCATTTCAGCACGGCAATTTTCAAAGTTTTTGCCTGATCCTTGCCAGATTCTTTTTCGGCGATTACAAATAGGTACTATCTGCAGAGGGCGGTGCTCGAGTGGTCGAGACGCACGGCACTGGGCCACTTTTGGAGACGTCCAGAATGGAGAGCACTCGAATAGAAGAAGTGGTCGAGAGACCGGGAGTGGCTCGGACTAATGGCTATCGGGCAGAAGTTCCCTACACAGGAGTACTCAAGTGAGTTCGCTTTCAGATATGATAGTGGTTTCAATTATCCAAGTCTCAATAATAAATACAGGAGATTGTTTCAACTCTTAATGGAACCTCGAATGGAGGCTTAATAATATCAATGGGGTTCAGAGTGCTGGTTACAAATATAGAAGCAGAATTGCTACCTGAATCCCTCAGGGGAGTTTCAATTCACATTTAGTCCACAA